CCAAAAACCGTTGATGCATATGAATAAACTAAAAAGTTAATTCAGCAAACCAAAATAGGAACATTAATCATTTCTGCTTGATCTTAATCCTTTTGGAAGTAACTTCCCTGTTAACAATTAGATGCCATAGCAGCTCAGTGTCAATGACATTGTAATTAGGAAGTCACTAATGAATACAGTATTTAAAAATGATAAATCTCAATACAGCTTGTGTACGATCTTTTTGTGAAGGTATATTATTATTACTGTTGAACCATAATTCTAGGTACCCATAAATAAATAAAAACTCAAGCTTCTTTCTTTCTTTTTTTTTGGGGGGGGGAGGAGGGGGGCGATCAAACAGCTCAATTCACTACAAAGTTTTGTTCAGCAGCTCCATTCATTTTATGCAGTTGTATGGCTTTATGATCATTGTGTCGTTCAGCAATCTTTCATACCACTCACTGTAATACTGGTTTAACTATTTCTCTTGGTGTGCTCTTAATTATTTTGGCACTTAATTGAGTCCAACAAGCACTATACAAGCCATACTTACTATGCCCCATATTCCTTTTTCCTCTCATGCTCTGCTCATACAGTTTAATTTCTCTCTTCCCATGTCAATCTTGGTTTTTAATTTTGTTGTTTTTCCTTTGTGATGGTAGTTTTAAATTCTTAATTGGCAGGACTTTTGTTTTTTTTTTTTTTTTAAATTTAATTTTTAATAATAAATTTATCTTATATTTTTTTGTTTGCAATAGTTTTTGATTTTGTGTCACCTATATGTTTTACTTTTTAGTCGAAGTTTTGGGACCATTTCAGTTTTTATGGTCTACATGTTTGTTATACTTTATCTTTTGTGTTTAGTCCTAGAGGGTTATCTCTTATGCATTGAAGTAAAAGAAAGAAAAAACAATAACTAATACTGCTATAGTATCTCAATTTTCCCTGCTCAAAATTTTTTTGCAGGTCATTTAACTTGGAAAATGGTTTGGCATCTCACACAAAGGCCAATCACAGTGCCGGACAATACATGGATTTAAAGAGAGAGCTTCTGAGTTCTAATTAGAAAATCTATGCTCAGTCTATTAGGTAATTTTTATAACCCTAAATATATTAGACGGCTCGGGGAACGCCCCAAACACCTTGGGAGGGACCAATGTAAGTTGTGAAGTGTGTATTGAATGTGTTTTCTAATTAAATTTTTTATTTGCAGGAAGCATTTTGTTTTAATTACTGTAATATATTTTTGCACGTGGAGGGCTATATATATATGTATAATTTGACCTACCCATCATTTTTCATCTTCCTGCTAAATAGACTTTTTAATTTATTGTTTACATTTTTTATTTGCTGTAGTTTCTGCCTCTATGCTCCTTTTATGATATAAAATTTGTTTGAAACTGTCTGTGACAGGTCAAGAATGAGGAAGAGGAATTCAGCATTGGGCATCTTTCTGTTCTGATGATGAGTGTTAAAAACAACACACAGGTAATGCATACTTTTCTTCCCTGTAAATTGAGGATAATGTTGTACCAGTGAAATTTTGATAGAAGGGTCATAGTCTTTAAATGGTTAAAAGCGGTTGTCCTTGTGGCATGTAGATTCAGCTATATTGTTTTAGGAATGTAAACTGCAATTACACAACAGATGTTTTGCAACATATGCAGCTCTACATCAAAATCCATGAAAATCCCCTCTGTATATCTATAAAAAGAAATCCTTTTGCTGAATGAAGTGACCAATTTTTCTCCTGTAGTTAAAATTTTTCTCAGTAGTTGTTGGGTTTACCACTGTATTGAATCAGTAATTTTTTTTCGCAAAACATGACAATTGCCGACCAAGAGTTTTGGTCGCAAAAAATACATGTATTGCCGACCAAAATAGTACTTGGTTGTGGAATCTCACTTTTGCCGACCAAAAGTTTTGGTCGTGAAAAGTAACAAATGGCGACCAAAATTTTTTAGTCGCGGAATGTCACGATTGGCGACCAAAATTTTTTGGTCGCGGAATGTCGCGATTGGCGACCAAAATTTTTGGTCGTTGAATGTGATAATTGGCGACCAAATTTTTTGGTCGCGAAATGTGTCAATTGGCGACTAAGATATTTGGTTGGGAAAATATCACTTTTCGCGACCAAAGTGTTTTCACGACTAAATGAATTAGTCGCGGTAATGATATATTTTGCGACCAAAAATTTGGTCGGCAAATCCGACTTTTCCCGACCAACCAAAATTTTGGTCGCGAATTACTTTTGCCGACCCTCAATTGGCGACCAAAGTAGCGACCAAAAAAATTGGTCGCGGACAACTTTTGCCGACCAAAAATAGACTTTTAGCGACCAATTTTTTTGTTGCTAAAAGTGTTAAGAGCAGTGAAAGGAAGAACCAAACTAGCTATAGTTCGGTCTACTCTGCGGCTCAGCATAGCCATGCTTACCTCAGTCATATTGGAGTCCGACCATGGTAAAACCATCTCACTTGGTTCAAGCAGTAAGGAGAGTGTTGAAGGATAAGCATTATCTTTCAGGAATGTGATTCCTAGGAGGACTCTACATGGAGGAGTAAAAGTCCTACTAGAATTGTGCTACATGGAACCTATAAAAGCTCATAACTTTGGTAAAATGATTTTCATTATTCTATTGTTGTTTTTTCGCAAGCAACTGGCAGGAGATTCAATGAGGTAATCCAATACCTCATGAATTCTTCATAGTCAATGAAATACAGGAGAATTGTCCTATGATTATTGTTGATACCAACTTTGGGGAGAGGCTTTGTTTGGCTAAAATAGTCAAAAAGTCAAAAAAAAAAAAGAGAGAAGCTAAAATGTCATATTCTAAATATCTATCGATCACTCTTTTCCTCACAACAACCATCTATTCAATTAAAAAAACTATCCCAAACAAACTGATTTTTTTCATCTCATAAAAAAGCCAAAAAGCCATTAGAAAAGCCAGTTTCCAAACGGACTAGATTTAGGCAATTTGGATTGGGAGATTTGGTCAAAGCTCCTCGTAATAAAACTTTAATTCATCAAGGACAAACCCAAATAGTTTTTCTTGAAAAGTTTAACACATCACTATTACCAAAATATATTTAGTGACTAATTTAATATTTTAAACCTTAAAATAATATAACTTTGATCTACGTGTTGATTTTTAATAAAATTAGTACTTTTAAAATCTATCAAACAAGATCTAGGTTGACTAAATCCGGATCCATTTACAGCCAACAATGAAATTCAAGAACAGTTAATTATATACCTGCTCAATATTGATTAAATAAATGTTATTTTATTTAGTTTTGAGCAGAGTTTTTCAATGTTACATGAATTTGTACATAGTCCCATGAAATTATTGGTGCAGTACAGAGTTTCTGTAATAGAAGAAGAAGACATATTGCTTGAAGGATCTGGATCCCCTCCGGTCCATACTGGAGGATGCTATAGCCTAGGTAACAACGAACTTGTACAGAGAACATCTATGTGCCTGAATATGTTTCGCACAAACGAAATCAGAGCTGAATATCTCAGATTTTCTCATTTGCCATGATTCTGGAAGTGTACTTCTGCAGAAGATATGCTCCAAAAATGAAAACAATGGGTGTTTTTGAATTCTTCATTTAGTTTATTTCTAAAGACATGAAGAAGAAGAAGGAAAAAAAAAAAAAAAAGGGAAAAAACAACCAAATAGGTCTAGTTTCAGAAGATAGGACTTCAAGATCAAGACTCAAGGATGACTGTAAGTTGGTTAGAAGTAATAAACATAGACATGGTGACCATGGTACCACTGATTATGATTGTGAGTTTTTTAGCTGCATGGGTTTATATCCAAAATAAGGTAAACTTTTTAGGACTGCTATGTCATTGTTTATCATTACTCTGTTTGTGTTATATAAACATAGGATTACTTGTGCCTTTCATCAATCTCACAGACTACTTTATGTCCTTAATTTCTTTATTATTTTTGTTCATTGGTTACATGAGTTATGATTTTACTTGTTATATGTTTATGTTAGTCAATTTTAAATTAAAAATGTTTTTAGTGTCTAAATCCCCAACAGTACCTAGGGATGTTGTAGATCATTCTGTCCATAAAAACATATCTCCTTTATTTAAATGAAGTACAGTGAGACAAGACTCCTAATACATGGTAAAGACAAAAAAACAGAAAGAATATAGGACCCAACACAAAAAACAGAAAGACTAGTCTGCAATTTGACAATGCAAAGATTTATTTGCAGATATGATTACCTTAATAACCCCACCAAAGCAACATAGGACCTAATACATAAAACAGAAAGACTCGTCTGCAATTTGACTAATGCAGAGATTTATTTGAATATATGAGCAGGAAATTACATCAATAAATTACACATTTTTAGGACCGCTAGCAGGTTGTTGACGAGCTCTGAAGTAGGCCGTTAGATTCTCTTCGGGAGGCAGATTTTCGTTGATAACAGGGAAGTTAACATAGGCATTCTTCCATTTGCATAAAATGGGAAATTTCTCATCTGTCAACAAATCTTCTGATCCCATGGTTTCCAGAAGGACTCCAAGCCAGAATGGGATAAATTTGGCAATGATGTCTACAATTCCGATGTTTGTCTCCTCCGAAGAATTTGTTACCCTTGAGTTGGGCTTGTAGTGTTTCCAGGAGCTCACATGCTTCTTCGATGGTCTTCGCTTGTTCATTGTCTTTGCTCCAACAAGCCATCCATAGTGCAGGCAAGCATTCATATAGTGTAGAAGTTAGTATCTTTGAAGAGCAAATGCATGAACAATTATGTGTGGTATATATTCAAATGCATGAAAAAAGAAAAAAGAAAATAGTGTGTGTTATATATTCAAACTTTATATACCACATCTAGAATAAACTTTATATACCACTCTGTGTGATACGTTTTCATTTTCATGGGTGTTTTTTGTTTAGGAGTTGTCAATAATCACACAGGATAATCTGGGGAAGCGTGACCAATTTTGTGATGAGCCATGCCACTTGCCCTGTGACCATCTTCAAGGATCCAGATTTTCAAAAGCACTGAAATGTCCAAATTCCAGGAATTGATTCTTTTTAATTATTTATTTTTATAATACTAATATATATTTGGATTTTCGCTATGTATGAGCACACGATTAGTCTTTTTTTTTTTTTTCAAATGTTTATGTTTTGACATTATTATGTCTTGAGATTCGAGGCAGACTTTCTCTGATGGCATTGCAATCAACATTACTCATCTACCCATTTGCAGAGCCCAGGAAATTTCTCCTCTGTCAACAACTACACCACACCCATTGCTTCCTGAGTGACTTGAAGCCAAAACCCTATCAAGTTTGTCACGATGTCTACTAGAGTGATAGCCAATTTTGATGTGGACTAGATTGGATCATCTATGGTTGCAGGTTTACAATCAATCATATCTATTAGAGATGAGGATTTGCTATTGTTAGTTTCAATTCTTCTTCTTATGGAGGCCTTCTTCATGGTTGAACTTGAATTAATTAAGCTAAAAATGTGGGGGAAGAGGTGGTGTACTGATACATGACACTTCCTTCTGCACAGATCTTTTGCCGAGTCGTTCTTTATTTATTCTTTTTTTTTTGTGTAGAAAATTCTTTGTTTATTCATTGTTTTGTGCAATCCTGACTCAACTGCCATTCTTTATCAAGATTTTGTGGCTAATGCACTTCCATATACAAATTCTGTTTAACTTTTTATTTTTATTTTTTATGTTTCTATATCATCACTCTATTTCTAATGCACACCATTACTCTTTCACATCTTGCATACAAAAATATCACTTCTTATTTGAAATGAAACAAGAGCGATAACTAGCTCCTTATACATAGAAATTTAAAGTACTTCAATTAATTTGCAACACAAAACACAAGAACTAGTAGTACATAGAAAAGAAAACCGGTCTGCAATTCGAAACTGCATCTTTTTATTTTTGTTGAAAATATGTTTTGGCAGAGGTGAGTAGTTTCTCTCTGGGTGGCAGATGTTCTTTGATGACACAGCAATTAACATAGTCTTCGATCCATTTGTAGAGTCTGGGAAATTTCTCTTCTGTCAACAACTCTACTCCCACTACTTCCTGAATCACTTCAAGCCAATATCCGATCAAGGTTGCGACAATGTCTACTAGACCAACACTGTCTCCTCCAAAAAACTTCTTATCATTCAGTTGGGCTTCTAGTGTTTTCAAGAGCTCAATTGTTTCTTCAATGCCCTTATCGTCTTTGGTAAAACAAGCCTTGTTTATTGCAGGCAAGCACTGTAATGCACACACCAACATATAAAAATTAGAAAAATCTAATGCGGCATATGAATTCAATCTAATGTAAGTATTAAAGTGGTATACAACTTCATCAAATTGCATGACCACATTGATAGGACAGAGCAAAATTTGAAAAAAGATGCTAGATTTGTAAATTTTTAGATTGTCTCAATTAAGTCTGATTGATAATACCTATAAGAAATTACGTAGAAATGAATGGCAAAATTATCCATTCGAAAGAGAATAGATCATTTCAAATTTGATGCCAACTCATCATTGAATGGACTAATTTGCTCATTGATTTTAGTCTAATTTCTAAAGTTGCATTGTAAGGTAAAATTGATGCAGTTAGAGCTATAACGATCAAAGACAAATTAAGGAGACTATGGGGTTTAATTTGACCTTGAATTTTCTGGACACTTTAATGTGCACGCAACATTTTTGTTTGGAGAAAAAAAAAATATAATAACATACCTTCTCATCTATGAAGTTGGCCCAGAAACGTGCTATGGCTCTCTCATGAGGATCTTCAGGAAAGATGGGATTGCCTTTCCAGGTCTCGTCAATGTACTCAAGAATGACAAGCGACTCGCAAATGGGCTTTCCATTGTGTAAGAGCACTGGAATCTTCTTGTGAATGGGGTTGCACTTGAGGAGAAGAGGACTCTTGTTTTGGAGATCTTCTTGGATGAATTCGTATTCGATGCCCTTCCATTTCAGGGCAATCTCAACTCTGCAATTTAAAGGACTTGCCCAATGTCCCAACAACTTCACTTGTTCAGCCATTTTAACAATTCTTTGCTCTTTTGTTACTCTTTAAGAAATTACAAGTTTGAGGTTGGTTTTTTATTCATCGACTTGGTGGCTTCTTATAGATGAGTCATACCACGAGTTTGTTGGTCATCATCAAGGTTAGATGCATGTACTTAATCAAATATTCAGTTGGTGGGTATTAAAAAATAATTACTTTGGTCAAATGATTTTCATGTGAACATTCCCATGTTTTTTCAACACGCAACTGGAATGAGATTCAATGAGGTAATCCAATACCTCATGAATTCTCGATTGTCAATGAAATACAGGAGAATTGTTCAATGATTACTGTTAATTAATACCAACTTTGGGGGAAAAAAGTCAGAAAGTCAAACGTGTTAAAATGTCACACTTTAAACATCAATCAACACTTTTTTCCTCACAACATCCATCGATTCAGCTATAAAAACTATCCCAAACACACTAACATTTTTCATCTCATAAAAAAAAAATCAAAAAGCTAAACAAGCTGAAATGTCACATTTTAAACATCAATCAATCACTTTTACCCTCACAACATCCATCAATTCACCTACAAAAACTATGCCAAAAACATTAACTTTTTTCATCTCATAAAAAAGTCAAAAAGTTGCTAAAAAAAGCCAAGTTTCCAAACGGGCTCTCAATATTGGATTTAGATAATTTGGACTCCGATTCCGATTAACAAATAATCCGATCAGATTCTACGAAACCCATTCCAAACCCGATCCATTTACAGCCAACAATGAAATTCAAGAACAGTGAATTATATAACTGCTCAATATTGATTAAGTAAATGTTATTTTACTTAGTTTTGAGTGGAGTTTTTCAATGCAGCATGAGTCCCATGAAATTATTGGTGCAGTGCAGAGTTTCTGTAATAGAAGGATCTAGATCCCTGCAGTATAGACTAGAGGATGCTATTCGTGCCCGTGGGACAGCACTAGCCTAGGTAACACTGACCTTGCCTCTAGTATACAATGAAGTACATGAGAACATCTATGTCTGATTACGTTTTGTACAAACGAAATCAGACCTGAACATCTCAGATTTTCTCATTTGCCAAGATTCTAGGAGTGTGTATTTCTGCAGAAGATGCACTCCAAAAATGAAAACAAAAAAGACTTAGCCTTAAAAGAGAGAAGAAAAGTAATGATTTCAGTGTTCAGAAATGACTGAATTTCCTGTGTCTGTTGTGGGAGTACTGAATTTCAACATTTCAGTTTTCATGTGGACTAGATTGGATCGACCATGGTTGCAAGTTTACAATCAACCCATATCTCACTGTCAATGATTTTTCGTGCTAAATGACGATTAGCTATTGTTGGTTTCAATTCCTCTTCTTATGGAGGCCATATTAGAAATTCATGAGATTTGCAACATCTTGAATATTTTCACACCGGAGCACCTGATTTTCGCATCTATTCCAACTAAGATACTAACAACTAAGAAGTCAATAACTGTTTGATGGATCACAGAAGGAAAATTCCTGCATATGTGGAAGAATGACGATTAGCTAGAGAATTGCAATTATTTGGTTGTGTTTTTTATTTTTTGGAAAACAAAAAATCAATTGTCTTGAAGCCAAAACCCGATCAAGTTTGTCACGATGTCTACTAGACTGATAGTCTCTCCAAAATAACTTTTTATCGTTGAGTTGGGCTTCTAGTGTTTTCAGGTCCTCACTTGCTTCTTCCATGGCCTTCTCTTGTTCATCGTCTTTGCTTGACAAAGCCTTCAATATTGCAGGAAAGCACTATACACCAAAGAGGACGGAGCAAAATTTCAAAAAACTCGTTAGATTGTAATCATATTCACATAATTTAACAGATGGGATTTGCAAGTTAGCAATTTGGGCTAGATATTTTGATTATTCTGTGCACGTAGCATTACTATTTGGAGAAAAAAGATGTGTACTGACATACCTTCTCATCTATGAAGTTGGCCCAGAAACGTGCCATGGCTATCTCACGAGGATCTTTAGGTAAGATGGGAGTGCCTTTCCAGGTCTCGTCAATGCACTCAAGAATGACAAGCGACTCACAAATTGGTTTTCCATTGTGCAAGGGCAAATGAATCTTCTTGTGAACAGGGTTGTACTTAACAAGTAAAGGACTCTTGTTGGCAAGATCTTCTTCAATGAATTCGTGTTCTATACCCTTCAGTTTTAGTGCAGTCTTAACTCTGCAACTCATAGGCTTGCCCAAACTCTTGAAATTACAACTTTGGGGTTGGTTTTTTTCTTCCTGGACTTGATGGCTTCTTATAGTTTCTTGACTACCAAGATTATACATACATATATATATACATATATATATGTACTTATCAAATATGTAGTTGGTGGGTATTAAACAATAGGAATGGATCAAATGAATTCTTGATGGTCAAGTTGTTTGTTGGCTCTGATCTGATGCTTGGATGTCAAATTTGGCTGCAAATGAAGAAAAAGAAAGGATACGAAAGTGAGTTACAGCCTACAGATTTGGAGCCTGCAGTTTTCTCTTCAAATAGTGAAATCCACAGCTGGTAGGCGCATATTGCTGAAACCACGTAAATCTTGTTTGTCTTCATTGTGGGGGTGTTTTGGTGTTTGTTTTTGGGCCCGGGGCACAACACAAGCAATATGATACACATACAGGAGGGTTGGCCTATGATCACATATATCAACAACTTGCTTATTCAGTGAACAATGAAACATGAATTTGTGTGTAGTCCCAAGAAATGCCGGTAATTATAAAGATTGTGTTGATTCTTCATAGAAATTTTGGTGTGGACTAGATTGGATCATCTATGGTTGCAAGCTTACAATCAATCATATCTATTAGAAATGAGGATTAGCTATTGTTAGTTTCAATTCTTCTTCTTATGGAGGCCATAATAGAAATTCGTAAGGTTGCAACATCTAGAACATTTTTTACATCAGAGTACTTGATTTTCTCATTTATTCACAAGCAAATTTCCATGCGGAAGATATAAGAAAGATGGTTGCTCTTGTTTGATTGTGTTTTTGTTTCCTGTTTACATTTTCTGGCAAACTCAGGGAAAAAATATTTGGTGATGATTTGTTCATGAAAACAACCCATTATTCACAAACCACCAAAAGTTGTTTCCGAAATTTTTTTTCTCATAAAAATGAAAACGATGTGCAAACAATGGATGTTCTTGAATTTTTCAATGTTTTAGTTTTTGAAAACATGAAAAACGAACGAAAGAAAATGAAAAACAACCAAACAGGCCCAATTTTGAGTAGCTAGGACTTCAAGATCAAGACTCAAGGCTGGCTGAGGCAGTTAGAACTAATTAACCTAGACAATGTGACAACGGCACCACTGGTTCCCTCCCTCACATTTGATTATGAGCCACACAATGGTCACAACCCTTCCTCATGGTTGAACTTGAATTAATTGAGCTAAAAATGTGGGGGAAGAGGTGGTGTACTGATACATGACACTCCCTTCTGCACAGATCCTTTGCCAAGTCGTTCTTTATTTATTCTTTTTTTTTTTTGGTGTAGAAAATTCTTTCTTTATTCATTGTTTTGTGCAATCCTGACTCGACTGCCATTCTTTATCAAGATTTTGTGGCTAATGCACTTCCATATACAAATTCTGTTTACTCTTTTTCTTTTTTCTTTTTTTCTTTTTTTTAAAAAATATTTCTATATCATTACTCTATTTCTAATGCAAACCATTACTCTTTTACAGCTTGTCTACAAAAATATCACTTTCTATTTGAAATGAAACAAGAGCGATAACTAGCTCCTCATACATAGAAATGTAAAGTACTTCAATTAATTCTCAACACAAAACACAAGAACTAGTAGTACATAGAAAAGAAGATCGGTCTGCAATTCGAAACTGCATATTTTTATTTTGTTGAAAACATGATTAAAAAAAAACTACTGATTGTTGTAATTTGCTTTGGCAAAGGCCAGTAGTTTCTCTCTGGGTGGCAGATGTTCTTTGATGACAGAGCAACTAACATACTCTTCGATCCATTTGTAGAGTCTGGGAAATTTCTCTTCTGTCAATACCTCTACTCCCACTGCTTCTTGAATCACTCCAAGCGAATATCCAATCAAGTTTGCGACAATGTCTACTAGACCAACACTGTCTCCTCCAAAAAACTTCTTATCATTCAGTTGGGCTTCTAGTGTTTTCAGGTGCTCAATTGTTTCTTCAATGCCCTTATCGTCTTTGGTAAAACAAGCCTTCTTTATTGCAGGCAAGCACTGTAATACACACACCAAAGTATAAAAATTAGAAAAATCCAATGCGGCATATGAATTTAATCTAATGTAAGTATTAAAGTGTGATACAACTTCATCAAATTGCATGACCACATTGATAGGACAGAGCAAAATTTGAAAAAGGATGCTAGATTTGTAAATTTTTACATTGTGCCAATTAAGTCCGATTGATAATACCTATAAGAAATTACATAGAAATCAACGGCAAAATTATCCACTAAAAAGAGAATAGATCATTTCAAATTTGACGCAAGCTCATCATTCATTTTGAAGAGAAGAATAGACTAATTTGCCCATTAGTTTTAGTCTAATTTCTAAAGGTGTATTATAAGATAAAATTGATACAGTTAGAACTATAACAATGAAAGACAAATTAAGGAGACTATGGGGTTTAATTTGACCTTGAATTTTCTAGACACTTTTATGTGCACACAACATTTTTGTTTGGAGAAAAAAAAATATAATAACATACCTTCTCATCTATGAAGTTGGCCCAGAAACGCGCTATGGCTCTCTCATGAGGATCTTCAGGAAAGATGGGATTGCCTTTCCAGGTCTCGTCAATGTACTCAAGAATGACAAGCGACTCGCAAATGGGCTTTCCATTGTGTAAGAGCACTGGAATCTTCTTGTGAATGGGGTTGCACTTGAGAAGAAGAGGACTCTTATTTTGGAGATCTTCTTGGATGAATTCGTATTCGATGCCCTTCCATTTCAGGGCAATCTCAACTCGCCAATTAAAAGCACTTGCCCAATGTCCCAACAACTTCACTTGTTCAGCCATTTTATCAGTTCTTAGCTCTTTTGTTACTCTTTTTGAAATTACAAGTTTGAGGTTGGTATTTTAGTCATGGACTTGGTCATCACGATTACATGTATCTTATAGAGGAACCATACTAGGAGTTTCTTGGCCATCAAGATTCAATGTATGTACTTATCTAATTTTCAGTTGGTAGGTATTGAAAAGTAGGGACTTTGGTAAAATGATTTTCATTATTCTATTGTTGTTTTTTCGCAAGCAACTGGCAGGAGATTTAATGAGGTAATCCAATACCTCATGAATTCTAGATAGTCAATGAAATACAGGAGAATTGTCCTATGATTACTGTTGATACCAACTGTGGAAAGAGGCTTTTTGGCTAAAGCAGCAAAAAAGTCAAAAAAAGAGAGCTAAAATGTCACATTCTACGTACCTATTGATCACTCTTTTCCTCACAACAACCATCCATTCAACTAAAAAAATTATTCTAAATATATTGATTTTTTTCATCTCATAAAAAAGCTAAACAGACATTAGAAAAGCAAGTTTCCAAGCGGACTCTCAATATCAGATTTAGGCAATTTGGATCGGGAGATTTGGTCAAAACTTTTTATAATAAAATTTTAATGCATTAAGAATAAACCCAAATAGTTTTTCTTAAAAAGTTCAGCACACACCACTATTACCAAAATATTTTTGGTGACTAATTTAATATTTTAAACCTTAAAATGATATAACTTGATTTACGTGTCAATTTTTAATAAAATTAGAACTTTTAAAATTCTTTCATTGATATCTATCAAAGAGGATCTAGTTGACTAAATCCGGATTCTTTTACAGCCAACAATGAAATTCAAGTACAGTTAATTATATACCTGCTCAATAGTGATTAAATAAATGCTATTTTATTTAGTTTTGAGCAGAGTTTTTCAATGTTACATCCCATGAAATTATCGGTGCAGTACAGAGTTTCTGTAATAAAAGAAGAAGACATATTGCTTGAAGGATCTGGATCGCCTCCAGTCCATATTGAGGATGCCATAGCCTAGCTAACGACGAACTTGTACAGAGAACATCTATTTGGTCTCTAGTAAATTTTTTTTAAGCTTAGACTTTCAAACAATTTTTTTGACATTTGAAAAAAAAAAAATAATTTGACAAAAATAAATTCATATATATCATTTTTTAGTTTTTTTGGGACACTTTTTCATAAATTCTTTTTTACTTACTTATGTTTTATTTAGTCCACATTATTTTCTTATATTCCAATAAGTCCTATGGATGACATAGTTACCAAAATACCCCAAATAATATTCACATTTACAGTGCGAATGTTCCGTGATGTGAATGTTTACACTGTCAATGTGAATGTTCACACTATCAATGTGAACATTCACACGTCAATGTAACTATTCACATTGTAAAATATGAATATTCACATCATCAAATTGCTAACCGTTCAAAAAATATTTGTAAGGGTACAAATGTTCATAAAATACCTTAAATATGAGAATTATGACTTGATAGATCAAATGTTCAAATAATAGGACTTGGAATACAAAATATCTTATGGACTAATTGGGTTACAAACACTTGAAAAAAGATTTTCTAATAAATCTCCTTTTTTTTTAAAACCAAATTAACTTCCAAAATTTAAAATAAAAAAATTCTGAAAATAAAGTTTTAGATCAAAACCAAACGAGTGGCAGATTCATTATTTAGTCATCTGTTTTGTACTGAGGCCTAGAAATTTTGTTGGCCTAAAATGTTGTTTAATTTATTTAGTGGGCTCCGAGTTCATTCAGTAGTCGGGTTTCTTTTTGGACTAAGGCTCTAGAAATTTTGTCGGCCCAAATTATTTTCAGATCCAAACCAAGTAAGGCCTTAATTTTTTAGCCCCAAAAATAAAAATTATGTTGGCCCAAATTATTTTTTTATATGTTTATAAACTGATTTATATTACCTCCAATTCTTGTCAACCATTTTGTCTGAATAAAATTTTATTTATCTATTTATTTTCTACATAAAAAATTAGTTATTTGAATCAATAAATCAAACAGATAACATGCAAACATTTATTACTATCAAGCATATAATATAGGTACTAACCAATAAAATCAGATTTTAATAGAGATAATAATAATATTTATAATGAAAAGAAACAATGATTAGCCCTAGGTTAGAGTTTTACATACTTAAAACAAAATTGGTTTCTAATAATTGATATATCATAATAAATAAATAAATAAATAAAATACTTGAGAGAGAAAAAATCAATTGACTATCCACAACTACATTGTGGATCTCATCCTCAAACATCGCATCGAAACATTTCACTCTTACACAATAGATATCACTACACATAATAAGAAATTGAGAAAAGGAAGAAAAGAGAGTAAGAGCAAGTGTACTCGGGCTAAGAGAGCAGCAGCGCGAGCGAGAAAGAGAGCAGCAGCGCGAGCGAGAAAGAAAGCAGAAGTGTGAGTGAGAGAGATTTCTTTGATAGATGGACTGATTTCAGTTGGAAGAGAAGAAGAAATGGAAAACAAAATTCTCTTACTAGTAATATATAATAAACATTCTCTTAGCGATAAGATAATCCGCATTAAATAACCTCCAAGCCCTTGTAAAAAAAAAGACTACCATTCCACATCCACTTACTCCACTGTCTGAAACTTATGGCCAACGTAACAGATGGTTATTTGTTTGTGTTTTTGATTGGTTTTATGTGGGGTATTATTTTATGTTTGTTTTGTTTATGTATATATATAATTGTTAATGAAATTTGTTTCGTAAAATCTATATATGTTGTTGATGTGGAACTCAGCAGATCTCCACTAGTGGCTCAATTATCAGTTCTCATTTCATATTCCAGTTCTTCACTAGTGGCTCAATCTTCACCTCTCATTTCACATAATGTCGATGTTTAATGCGAAGAATTTAATGCTTGACTTGTTTTAGTTTTTTTTTAGTTTATTTTTGGTAAATATTTTTATTTTAAAAGGGTTGATTTTCAGTTAAAATTAATGAATTTTGTACTGACTGTTAAAATAAAAAACAGTCCGTAAAAAGTTCATTAATAATATGTACGAAAGACTTATTTTGTAAAAGATAATGTTTCAATTAAATTTGATGAACTAAAAAAAAAAAACAATCAATGACAAGTTCATTTAAATAATGTGTAAAAATATCATTTTGTACTGAATTAGTGATATATATTGTTATTTTATAGTCAACTTTGCAATTTATCTCTTATTTTTTTGTCTTTTTAATATTAATTATTATAATCATCTTATTAAACAAATTTAAACACTAGAAATTATATATGCAAAACACAAAATTATACAAAATAATTTTTTATGCACAAAAATTAAAACATTGCTAAAAAAAATAATTCAGATTTATTGCTTCATTCCACTATCAAAATAAAAATTTACAAATTCGGACCAACTGCTCCATTCCACTATCAAAATAAAAATTACAAATTCAAACCAACTGCTTCATTCCACTATCAAAATAAAAATTACAAAATACTAAACAATGCCTATTTATAACTACTTTAGCCCATTATGAAAAATGATCCGTTGCTTGAAATTGTTGGCTCGAAATTGGCCCGAATACCCAAAACGACGTCGTTATGGGTATTTTTTTTTCTTTCTTTCTCTTGTGTTCAAATACAGAGGGAAGAGACGAGGAGAGAGAGAGAGAGAGAGAGAGAGAGAGAGAGAAGAGAAAAGGAAGAGAGAAGAGGCGATGGCGAGAAAGAGAAGGAAGATCGGCGGTGATAGCGGTCTCTCTCTTCTGGTGGGTATCACCCCTTTGTTTTCTCTACTTTTTTTTCCCCCCTCCCCCTTTCCAGTAGATCTGGATTTGAGGATGAAAGGGATTTTTTTTTTTTTTTTTTTTTTTTGTTGATTTTTTTTTGTTGATGAAGATGATGATGATGCTGTTGCAATGATTTCAAAATCTGAAGATGAAGGGAAAAAAAAAAAAAATTTGTTGATGAAGATGTTGATGAAACCCAGCAGCAAACAGCAGACACAGCTCTTTCTTCTTTTCCTTTTTCTTTTTCTTTTTCTTCTTCTTCTTCATCTTCAGAAAAGCGCGAAGGAAAAAAAAAAACACCAAAACGACGTCGTTTTGGTGTCGAGCCACTCTCGAGCCACACTCTTTTGAGCTACGAATCACTATTGAGCCCATTATTATCTTCCCCCATTGACACCAAAACATCCACCTCAACAAATTTGGATAATGCCTATTTATATCATTTGTAGTCCATTATTATTATTTTCCTTTTAAAATAATACTAATAATAAATCCAATAGTGTAAAAGATATATAGAAAAAAAGAAGGTAATTAGTGTGTTTGGTTTCAGTTTTCTGAATTCAGTTTTTTAAAAGTTGAGTTTTTTATTTTTTGTTTTTAGTAAATATTTAAAAAAATTTAAGTTTTTTTTATTATTTATTTATTTTTTTACATCTTATTTATATGTATCTAAAAAATAATGGGGTTTTTTTTTAGGGTCCCTAGTATTAAGATTTTATAGCATAAAGGACACCAAATATTTTCATAATGTCTAAGGTTCCTCAATTTAATCCAGAGAAATTTCATCCAGAGAATTTCTCTGGACTTTCCAGAGAAATTTCTCTCTAAAATTTCTCTGGACCTCTGAGAGAATTTCTCTCAAGAGAACAAATTTCTCTGACTTTGTTTTATTGAAATTTCACTGAGTGTACCAAACAAACAAAACAAACAAACAAATAGTATAAATACATACATATGACTTCACCAATTTTACTCAATTAATGGCAGAGAAAATTAAACAAACTGAGTTTAAACTAGAGAAATTCAGAGAATTTCTCTGAACCAGGAAAGAATTTCTCTGGACTCACTTCAACTCAGAGAAATTTTCTCAAAACCAGAGAAATTTCCCTTTAGAACCCAGAGAAATTTATTCAAATCAAAGAAATTTTCCCTCTCCAAATCACTCAACCTAGAGAAATTCACAACTCAGAAATTTCATTTTCTGTCACCATTCGAACCCGACCACTTAGCTTGCTTGATCTTTTCAAGCTGAACCTGAGTATCCTTGAACAACTGCATCATTTTAATCTCTAAATCTTTAGCAAAT